GAAATACGCGAGGAAATAAATTCATTATCCTCGCGGTGCGGCTTGATACGCGTTACACGAGGAGTGTACGGATCCCGCGTGTCAGAAATTTATAGTTACACGTGGTTCACTCGGCCGCGCTATGTTTCTATTCCGCATGACGCCACCTATACCCGTGATAATTTTAACTGTCCGATCGAACACGGATCGAGAACACAGAAATTCGGTCTCCGTTGGAAAGCAAACGTGATGTTAGCCAGCTTGTCTCACTCCCGTAAACATTTGGATAAGACGCTCCGCGCGATCGCGAGATGATTTAAGCTAATGCACGATTCAACGGGAGGCGAAGAAATAGGTTGAGGAAGACGCGGCGAGGACCAGACCAGAATTTTAGCGAGGCATCTTCGCAATATTTCATCCAATACTCCTGCCATTTAAAGAACTGTCCGCTGGGAAGACTGGTGGTTGTCTTCATTTTTTCAGGAGTGCTCTTAAGCACATATATGATATGGTAGGCGTAGAACCTTTCGTTTTGGTATGTGGAGTTAGGATAATGTTAAATTTAATTCTTTTAGCTTTTCCTTCATTTGTCGTAAACATACAAAAGCTACGAATTTAAATGTTGCCAAATTTTTCTTGTATCTGTTACGAAGATATAAAATTTATGAATATGCAAGATTTGCAAACATACGAAATTTATGAATGTACACATTTTGTCTACGGGCGTCACGAACGAATAGAATCGTTGAATAAACAAATTTCTATCAAAATAAAATCATAAATTGCTCGAGGAGCAAAATAAATACATAAACCATAGAAAGACCAAAAATAAATACATAAATCGTATGAGTGAAAATAAATCCATAAATTATTTGATTTAAAAATTCATAAATTTCAGATGTGCGCGAAAATTGAAAGCCAAAGGTGTACAAATTTCGAATTTTTTACAGCTATATCAATATTTGAATATTGTTCGAATTAGTCAGTCGCTTGGCAAAATTTTTAAATATCAACATCGTACACTTTTTGAACAAAGCAAACTAAAATTCAATGCTAAAAATATTTTCTTTGTCATTATTTCAGAACTTCACTTCCCACATCGACAGATATGTAGTTTAATACTCGTACTAATGCTCCTTAAATACCAAAGATTCGATTTGCACTTCAGCGCTCCTTTCGTTTCAAAATTAACCCTCCGACCAACAATTTACCGGAACAATGTATTTTACTATCCACCACGGTCGTGAAACAGAGACCTTCGCGCCTCGCGTAGAAAATAAGTTTTACTTCAAGACAAGCCACGTGGGGCGCGTCCTTGTTTACCTCGGCATCGGTAAGTAGTTCCGTGCAATTTCTATTTTTCGCATCTTGATGTTTTCCCTCGCCTCGCTCGAGCAAATAAAGTTTCCTCAATTTCCAACGCTGGCCCTAGCGTGTAGCCGCAAGTATGCCACCTACCGCGGGCAAAGTCGATCCCGGAGAACGATTCGAGGAATCGTAGGCGAACGCCGCCGTCGCGATTCCACGAGCGGAAAGAGCTTCGGCCCGATCAAAGTTCGAAAAGTGGGACATTATTTTTACGCCGTAGGAACGCGTTCAATTTATGCTTCGCGCTCGTCTGGCCTTGTTCCCTTCGAACTTCAGCGGCAGTGTCCGGGACCAATAACGGAAATCGCATGGATATCTGCTGGAAAGAGGAACGGGAAGGATGGTAAACGATTTCGCGATGAGTATACAGGGTGTTCCTCAAAATGCGGTGGTCGTGTCGGATGACTAGGCTTCTACTGAATTGGTTTGCTTTCCCCGACTCACCGAACGTTCCTCCTATTGAATATTTGAAATTTTCACTTCTTCGAAACGTGTTACACGTCGCAGTTCAACTTTCATCCATTGGCCTCGAAGTCGTCTTCAAAAGTAGGAAAAAGTATCATTTCCACTGCCACAGATTACACTTAAACAAGGTCACAACCATTTCAAACACTATCTACCTTAGGACACTTAATATATAGGATGTTCTTTTTAACTATTCTAAGTAACTATTTTATCTTTTATATCTCTTAAGTAACTATTTTATTATTAGATGAAAATATAAATAAAAATTAAATATACGTTTCAGAAATTCAAGAAGAATGATGCCTTGTGCAAAAAAAATATTAAAGAATGCTTGTTAGCCTACAAAAATGGTAAGACGACATATTATTATTAAAATTTTGTTTACGATTTTGTGTGATCGATTGGCCCACAAATTTCCGAACGAAACGTACATCCTCTTCGAGTCCGCTCCGATGTCATTGAAGATAAAAGCACTTTGACGTCACTATTATCAAACCCTCCAAGTGCGAACCGTTCGAATCGAGCTATGCTCCCCCGGGGGAATGGTCCATTCCGAGTTAAAGCGCAGCACGATCGCGGTAGTCAGAGCGACGAGTCGCCCTGCAGAATCAAAGCTCTGCAAATTGGCGTGCCTGATCAGGTCAGTAGGAATCCTGACTCTCCATCGACCCGCGGAATTTTAAATTCTTCTCAACGACCAGCTAATCGCGCTTCATTGCTATCATGTGTGACAATTCACAGTAAACCTCGCGTAAATGTCGCTAGCCGAGACAGCGGATACGAAATTCGGTTTCCATTCACAGCGAGGGCTACTTGAACTATGTTTGTATAAAATTATTTAATTAACATATTCGCGACTTGTGACGCAAATCCGCGTCACTTCAAATTCTATTCCTGGTTATGAAAAAATTATGAAAATCTGTTTATTCTGTACACTACACATTTACAACGTTGACATTTCAAAACATTTTTGTAATTTTTATCTTCGCTCTAACGACACTCGGTACTAGGAACGTAAAATTATTAAATATCATCGTGGATGGGGAAAACTAAAAATAAGATAACTTCGTTAATTACGACTGCTCGTATTGGCCTCCGCAGAGAGAGTGTTTATTACGTGCTCGCACATGAATGAAAAAAAACTTCTCTTTTTAACGTATTTGCCTGTAGTGGTACTTTTGCTTACATTTTAATTTACTTAGATTCTAACAAAAATATCTGCCGCTCACGAATGTGTTAACGAGGTTGCAGGCTCAAAACTGTGGAACACGACGCAAATACTCGTCGACACGTAGACTAGCACTAAAGAACTAAGTAATGAATTTCAAAGTTGAGATGCCAAAGAAAATAAATCTGAATTGAATATCTGTTATCATACAAGTCATCGAGGAGCCATACGAGCAGTTTACCTTCAGTTTTCGCTAGCGTTGAGAACGTTACCTCCCGTATTTTTCTTATACCTGAACTTCGTCGTATCCAGCTAATCCTCGGTATCGTCATCGTTGCAACGAATATGCTGCAGTCTCAAAGGGAAAGGCCTTCGCCATCTACTACACGCACCCGCGCTTCATCCGAGCTTTTATCATGTACCCCGAGCTCTGTCTCTCTATTTCTCTTCCCATTCCCCCCGTGCACACATTCTGCACGGCATCCCGTCATGCTCTCGACCCGGCAAGTTGAGAGCCCTAATTAAATTCAGTCTGGGTACTCTTACCGAGCGCGGTCCATCGTTCATTAAGCGACGGATCAAAGTGATATTCCCGTAAAGTAGTTCCACTTTGTGGCGAGGGTTCACCCTGCCTATACCTATCCCTTACCTTTCCCTTTGCCTCGACTTGCCCCGATCCCGCGGAGGCATGAGCGACAGTCCGGCTTTACCCTGGAGGCGTACGTGAATCTTTTACGCCACCGTCGTACGAATGATTAATTACTCCATAGGCCGACGGTGGTTGCGCGGCTGCTAAAAAACCGGGGCCAAAGTGTTCCTCGGACGTCTTCGAGGGATGAAGGGTGTCGCCGAGTGATACTTTAATGGGTAATTGTATCCGGGATGAAGTGGATGTCGAGTTATGATAATGGAATTACGAGAGATTCGCGAGTGCGGAGTGCCAGGTTCGAAACTCTTTGCGTACTTGAGTCTGCGAAATTTTGTTTCAGATGTAAAGCATCTTCCTCTTAATTATTGATATAATTATTAACACGTTTTCCTCGTGATTATTGAATATATATTATAGCCGACGTGACAATTTCATCGAGTCGCAGAGATATTAAATTAGAATTAAACCTTTCCACTCGAGAGGTGACTCTCGATCACCGCTAGGTTCGACGCAGTAAATCGACCAGCAATAATGTTTGTTTAGATTTAATTCCGTTGGAACTCGAAGTGTCAAAAGAATGATTGTCGGTGTGGCAAAGGTGACCTAATTCGCAAATCTCAAATTAGAGATCTAATTTTCGGAGTCAATCTAAGCTTAGCGTTCGTGACTGGGTTAATAAAATCGCAAGACGAGTAGCTGTAAACGTTCCTTTACGCGAATGCAAGACGTTCTCGCGTTGCGAGTATAACAAACAGTCCCTCGACAATGTATAGCAGATTCGCGGGATTGTAATTGTTCGCCGTGAAAGGCGACCGGAATGACACCCGCTATATAGCGTAAGAAATTACCAAATATATGTACAGATATGTTGTAACAGTGTTTGGTACAGTTGGGCGATATATTTGCTCGATAGTTTCGCATTGGCGCGAGAATACCTTCGCACCCTCGTAGGATTAATGGCCTTCGAATGAGCCATAGAAGACAACGACTTGCAGCTGTTACACTGCGGCGTTGTGAATAATTAGCGGCCGTAGTAATTCCCCGATCATTAATAATACGACGAATTGGGTATGCATATAATAAAACGAATAGCGTTAACCTCGATCGTTGAAAGTAGCGGTGCGCGTAAACGGTAACGTCAGAGTGATGGTGGGACTGAGAGTTATCCAGATACCATCGGTATTCTGAATTCTCCGCTAATCATTATGGCCTCGATACTCTAAACTTAAATGTCTCAAACGACCACTCAGAAATTGATAATTATCTATATTAACGAGTACATGTCACCAGTCCCATCAGCACGTCAGATTATGACCATTGAGCCAGCATTTAAAAAAAAATAAGAAAATAATTGAATACAATCATTCGTACCATCATGTACTCATCGTAGAGGTAGGAGATCTCCGGATAAGTTAGAAAATCGACCATGGTGTCGTCGGTACCGCGAAACCTGAGAAACGGGGATCACTGTCGTCGTAGGACGAACGGGAAGGCACAACAACACTCCGTGACGAAGAGTCACGATTAATCCAGAGTTAACGAACTCGTCGAAAAGTCTCGTGGAACTGAGCGCCACGTGTAATCGAAGTTCGCCACAACCATTCGTCGCGATTAGAGGACAAGCTAGATGGCATCTAACTTCGAAACCGCCACTGCGCAGAAGCACTATACCGCTTCACTTTGTTACACAAAACCACTTGGCGCGACTCGAATCGTCCCGAAATCATTCGAAATCGATCGATAGTTTCCGTCGAAACTCGCGATTCCCCGTCAAACGCCGATTCAAGATTACACGAGGAACAAAGAAACCGCGACGCTTCGCGTGCCGCCAAACTTGCGCCGCGACGACTTCTCAATCTTCTCGATCGCGCTCGAAAATTCGAGAAATCACTGTTAATTCCAAGAGCAGACACGCGCAGCAACCCCGCTCGAAAGCGACAGAAAGAATGGGAACAACGAACGAGCACGAAAGGGCGCGTATAACTGCGATTGGCTTATTTTCAGGGCCGTATCTCGGAAGTTGGCGCGGAAGGTCCACGAGGCAGCCACGAGGGTGGAAACGGGTGGCTTTATGCGCAAACGGGAGATAAAAGAGGAACGAGGGTAGACAGATATATATATATATATATATATAGGTATAGGTATATACATATGTATATAGAGGGAAAACGAGGACTCGCAAGCCTGCGCTTGCGAACGAAAGCACAAGGGAGAGTAAGCTCGGTCACTGAGGCGTCGTCACTCGGCTTGCTTCCTCCGGAGTGACTCCCTCCTTTGCTTCCAGTCCCCTACCATTTTCATGCCATCCCTCCTTAACCTCCTCCACCTTCTTTTTGTTCTTTCTCGTCTTTCCGTCTTCGCGTCTGTGCCTCGCGGAAACGATCCCTCGTCGCGAGGCGTAACCACGGAAAGTTTCTCGTAATGGTTTGATAGCCTCCCCATCCTCCGTTCTCTTCCCCTACGCCGGGGCGTCCATATTCATTACGCAATAATTATATAGTATAACGAAGATCAACGGGGCGCTCGTTGCATCGAGGTTTGCGACAGAGAATGTTTAAAAACTCCGGTTCCCTTTTGAGCGCGCCCCACTTGGCTCTCGAGGACCCTTGGAAATACCGGAGGAGAAAATCAGCAGATAAGGCGGGAATTAAAATAGTGCCGCTCGCCGTTCTAGCGAGCGGAATGCTCGATGCGGATGACTCTCCCGCGAGCAAGGAATTACTGGCCCGAGAAGAAAATGGGAGAAGATAAATGTTATCGAACCGACCGCGACCGCACGGCCAATGAAAGCCAACGTACGGTCTTTCGTACTCGCGAGGGTTAACTTTCATTTAATCGATGATTCGCGAATGATAATAACGTGAATTGCTTGGTTGTTGAAGAGCAAAGCTGATGTTATTCGTGGTTTTCCATGAGAGTCGAATTATTTAAACGCTTTTAGCCTTGTTTGCTCTAAAAAAGTTTTTGCAAAGGTACCGCGAGGCATGAGTTTTCAGAATTTCACCCGATCAGTCCTGATATCATCGTGGATGATTCCTATCGATCTTTCCACGGACTCGCTTCAAGATTCGATCGAACCTTCGTCTGGAGGTCATCGTAAACGTCACCGTCTCATCTCGGGATGGCCCGAGGAGAGGAGGGATTCTGGCTTGCGAGGCTCTTTAGGTAAATTGCTATTTAGGTGCGTCGCTACGTGGCACGATAATTCTCGGCGTACTCTGGTGAAATTAAAGATCAAGGCGGACCAATACTCTCCTCTTTTTCGGGTAAGATGGGCAGGAGGCTTAATGCGGGCCACGCTTTATCGAAATTGATAGCATTACGCTTATCTCTCTTTTCTCGTTAAACTGGATATTCGTCCTTCTCTTTATATACGTATATACACTTCCAAGTCTTTTTCCACGCAGAAATCTCCGACCGTCTCCCCACGATAAAGCCTTCCAGATTTAATTTTTGTTTATTTGCTTTGCTCGCAAGCTCAGCCTCCGCCATGGCTGCAGTGTTGGTCTAGCTGACTCCAACATTAACAGATCGCCAGATGTTATTGCTGTTCATTGGTATTTCGCTGGCGACAGAAAAATTCCTATGTAGGATCCCAGCTAAACTGTAACGATCTTTATTTAACCTTCGCCGGCCGAAGGAGATCGCGATTCGTGAAATTGCTGAACGTTAAGCAAATCCATATACATAGTTATAGCTTAAAGTGATTTAAAACTTTCACATTTTTCTTCTCTTTCATGTGCTCAAGTACTTTTATTTGAAACCATTAGACAGTATTGAGATTAATACACTTGTTTTATTATTTTGTGATCACTTTCACAGGTATATTTATAAATTATTATTATGCGGAATTATCTAGCGAAATGTTTTTGATGATTGCAAGTAACATTATACCAATTTCGAAGCAAATATATCTGTATTCCTGTTTACAGGCGTCGGTTAATTAATTTGAGTATTAAAAGCACTCGACTGTAAAATATACAATAATAATTCGTAATTCACACTAGCTGCAATAATAACATTGCCAAATATCATCGTTTTATATATTTTTCCTCGACACATTCTCCATTCGAAATACAAAAAAAAAATATCTCGCTCTATGCATCTAGTTATCAAAGTAGAATTACTTCTCTTGTCAAAATAACTTTCTATAAATCTCACCCAGCTCCAAGTAAAACCATCGATCGATGCCCCTACACCAATCCCTCTTATTAATTCAATTAGCGTTCCACACTATAAGGACCTACAAAAAATCAGGAAGAACCAAGAAGCGTCTCTCTGCTCACCTTATTAGTAGAAGTGCATTGGAACACAAATGTCAGGACGGAGCAACTCTTGAGCCCTCGAGTTTTGACGGCTAAAAGAAAAATCCATTAATCCCCTGTTCCACTTCGCGACGGTTCGACTACCCTTTCTCTTCCGTGTCGAAATTAGGAACGGGCTTAAGTAGCGCGAACGTTAGGGCGACGCGATAAGGCACGGTGAAATTCAGAAGGACGGATTGCGCGCGACTGACAAATTGGCGGGCCGATTTACGAGGGTGTAATTGGCGTCAGAGTGCCATGGGGTTTGCCAGCTCGAAGGAAAGAAACGTTCAACTCCGACGGTCGCACGACGATGGCCGTCCGAGCGACGCGACGCGCTTCGAGTTGGCGCGAATTTGCATAAGGAAAACGATACTCGCGCGTGCAAAGCTCGCAGCGAGGTGGAAAAAGTGGGAAAAAGAAGTCGGGGAGCGGAATACGTTTGCGAGTCGAACGCGAAGGCGGAGGAAAGAGCCGAGCAACCCTCGAGCATTGTTTGCATTCTTCCCTAACGAAGTTTTTCGAACTTCCGGCCGCACCTGTGCAACCCCTCGCAGTCCAATGAAATCTTCGTGATTTCTTCCTCGCTGACCGTTCACTTCCTGTAATTCATTAACATTACTCCGGAGTCGCGCAAACCTGCATCTACGGTAAATGTAGCGCTGTTTTTCTTATCTTTATCTTAACGCGTGGAAAAATAATTGATTGAAAATATAATTTAATTTGTTTTGTCGTCGTACTGGAAATTGGACTGAACAGTACCTCTACCTATAAACTTAGCTGATTCATCTCAAGTACCCGATGTAACCTATGCATTCAAGTGAGACTTAGTATCCTCCCCTTATCTTCTAAGAAGTACTCTCATCTCACCCCAAAAACGGTGTCAATCCCAATTGTACTCCCTCTGTTCACCAACGGAATTCAGAATTCAGCGTGCAACATGTTCAGAATTCATGCCTTCGGTTCTCTTCCACGCTCGTAAATGCGACCATATCATCCCACGTCCCAACAAATACGACTGGCTTAGCCTGACACAAAGGCGGATCTTACATCTCTGTTGTCTGGTGTATGATCTCCTCCACTCTGACACACCTTCGTATCTACGCATCGCGGTACACCTTCGCTACGAATTTCACGTCATCAACTCCTACAGCACGCGAGCCGAATCCCTTCTCTACATTCCTGTCTTTCACTCCGTCAAATTCTCTGGTACCTTCTCATGCTCTGCGCCTCCCTGTTATAATACAATCTCCTGCTTGCTCGCACGTGCTCGCTTCCCATTACACTTTTCTGTAAACACGTGGCTGAGATCTTCGTCCTGAATTCCGTTTTAGTTTAACACGAGAAAATTGTAACGGCGCGAATGTCTCGTGTATTTGTCGTAGAAGTCGTCATGCCATGACATCATTTAAAAACTTGAAAATTGTGTGGCAAAACAGAGGTACAAAATATTCCAACCAATTTGTATTTATAACCTTAAGACAATTAAAAAATTCAGGAGCACAGAAAACAGTAAAGAAGAGTGTGTTGAGAATTCTTTGTCAAAAAATACTATGTAGTTACTTCGTAGCTCCATAGCGCTGCCATTTAGGAAGCGGTCGATTCGTTAAAAGCGAAGCGTGCTATTTAATAATTACCTACCACTGGTAAGAACTTTTGAATGAAATAACAGATGGTCTCGATAAAATACGAACTAAACTCGACTCAGCGTTTAACAATTCTCCGTTTAATAAGTGAGAAGCATATCGCGAAACGTGTTACGCGAGAATTAGAGTGTCCTTTGCTTCGGACGGCCGGGATCTCGTTTTAGATGTACAGTTCCGCAGTTTCGGCTCTAATTTCCGACGGAGTTTAATCCTGTTCGCTCACGAAAGAAACTTTTGTAACAACGATGAAAAATTACAAGTCGTACGAGAGCGTAGCTCCCGAGCAGGACTCTGGTTCCTCCGAGAGAAAAATGGTTTTCGACGTAATCAAATGGCTTCTACGATTCGTCAAAGCAGTCTACGTTTCGCACGCCACAGGATCCGCGCGAACTATCGCGATAACGACCGGAAGTGGGATACCCAATACTTTCTTTCAGAGGTATCGCGTGAGCGGGTACGAGCGTCTGCGCACGTGCTCGCTTTCCACAGTAAGCACGGGCTAAGTATAGCCGGTTAGCCACGGGCATTGTTATTGCTTGCACAGCGGGAGCGTTCAGCTTGCGATCCCTGTTTATGAAGGGTTCGTTGCTTGCTCAAGTTATGGTCTCAGGTGCGTTCGGATATTACAACTCGGCACGGTCAACCAGAAAATCAACATCGCCAACGCCAAATTTACAGTGCAACCTCATTTATCAATTTTTCGAGGGAACGTCTCACGAATTGCAGCAGTGTCCTGAATATCGAGCAAATTTGTTACTCATATTTGCCGTCAGGAATCATCCTCGACGCTGTTTATCTTTAATTATCGTGAACCATCCGGAGAGTCGCTTGGCTAGGAGGTGTAAACCGAAAGCGATCAGGAAGGAAAATTTCAATTTTTATATTTCTTAACGTATATTCGCGAGAATATTGCCGATGAATTGGTGAGACTTTCTGGATGAAAATGAGTATAAATACGACCATATTTGTGACACTTTTAATTCTGTGCTCGGACCGTCACGGTTCAAAGAAATAACTATTAAAAATAGTTCGAGTGCGGTCGTGTTTGGAGTCATTTTTATCATGGAAACTTCAGAAAATCAATTAAACTGTTAATTGTTGTACTCTAAATTTATTCTTATTTTGTATAATACTATGACTTTCATAATATGTTCACGTTTTAGACAATCTACTCCAGTTGATTTTGTAAGTTCTCTACAGTTTTATATATATATAAAAGAAAAGAATCACAATCTACTGTTGAAGTGATATGGAGCAGAATAATTAAATGCACGCTAAAAATGAAATATTTTTATGAAATTTAAAAATGTAGAATCTTTTCATACGCAGAATGGCGAAGAGAACCATTTGCATATAAAACGTGTAAAATTTCCTCCGAAAAATAATGCAATTACGCTTCGCAAATGTTCTACCACTTCATAACCCTCTATTTCTAACTAAAAAGTTAACATCATCCCCTATTTACGC